GATATTGCTTATGATGATTATAATGCCGAATAATTAATCAAAAAACATGTACCTCTAAAAAGATTACATCGTTTAAAGTGTAATAAAAGTTAAGATGGTTAAGAAAATCTTAGGAACAAACATCTCGAATAAAGAAAATTTTATGAAAACTAGCAGGATGCGAGACTTAGAAAGGTGACCAAAAGAGAGTAGTAAGTGGTCGTCAATGGACGTGTTACCAAAGAAAATCAGTCGTATACACTTCATCGAAGAAGGTAGTCTACCAAGCATGTAAACTCATAAACTTGAACATAAATTTTTCTCTGCATTGCCTATTTTTAAGAAGTAGCTTCGGAGACATGTTGGTTAGCATCGCGTTGTAGCCCAAAATATCTCCTGATGGCAGCTAGTCTCATGTGTTCTTTGCGGTGCTGGAGCATGAGCTCCCTTTCTGTAGAGGATCTTGAAAACCGTCCTTCTAAGCTGGAAGGTTCGTTGCTGCTGAAACCAGTAAATTTTAATTAGGAACGAGAAAAAATGATTCCTTCTCCCCAGCCATAAAATCCATACTAACAATTCTGTTAGAAAAAACGATTCTGTAATTATGAAAATATGAATACAAATGAAACTTTATCGTACAGTGTAATGAAAAGAGAGACAAAAGATTACCTGTCAGCAATAGGAATGTCAAATCTTGGATCGGTGGGTGGCGTTGAAGCGGTGCTCGAAGAGACACTATTCTCAGTGGTACTAGTATGAATCTGAGGGACGGATTCCGATTGTGGTTCTTCAATTAAATGATGTGGCGGTATCAGCACACCATCAAGAATGTTCTCAACAGTCCATTCGACTGATCTTGTCACTCTGAGGTCCTCCACAATTAGGTTGCGTGGGAAATGCGGAAAAAGTTGCTGCACCTGATTCAGGATTAAATAACATTCATCAGATCATAGCAGAGAAAAACTATAGAACACTATTACAGAACAAAAAGATTAATTCGTTTTCAGAATGCAATTACTCATAGAACAATCTAAGTTGTAGGTCAAGGGAGACGTATCATATTCTTACTTAGTGGACCTTGCAATGATCTTGAAACGTCCTGAGAAAGTCACTATCAAGTTTTTAAATAGGAACCTGTGCATTTTTAATTACATATCCTTTGTAGCTGACGTGAAGATATTTTCATGACACCATATACTTGTATCTGTTAATTGATTCCAACACAAATCAACCTCTAAAACGAATTAACAATTTGAGAACAGAACATGCCTGTCTGATCATAGCATCCATTTGCGAGTTGTTGTGCGCAATGGTTGAAATGTCTCCACGTAGCCAATTATGAGAAACCTCCACGGAGAAGCTCGGTAGCCAAGAAACATATCTCGAGCCGTCGAAATGAAAGAAGTGATTCTCATTCGTTCTGGCTGGTGTTTGCAGTTCGTTTGGTAACGCCTGTGTGCTGTCACGATGGTTCGGTTGCATGCTAAGCGCAAGCCTACACGTTGGGCAAGAAGTATCCTGCTCTAGCCAGGACTGTAGACAGGAATTATGGAAGAGATGACAGCAGGGTAACTTTCTGGCGGCTTCCATCTTCTCCCAGCAAATAGCGCAGTTGTCAGAGTTTTCTGCCAGTTCCTCTTGCGTCGCCATTGGGTAGCTAAAATCAATATTAGTATATCAGATTACAGTTCTTAATACAGAGACCTGATCTGATCCAGGAACGGAGATATGTACTTTTGCTCCATGTGGTTCAACACGGCTAAGTAGTTCCTGTGCTTAGTCAGTTTCCGTTGAATCTCGTAGAACAGGTATCTAAGCTGCATACAGATTACCAGGGAGGCCATGCTCAGGAATATGTTGCTCCAAAGCAACATATGGATATGATGGAAGAAGTCCACGGACAGTACTATTAGCTCTGCCACAAGGTCCGCGTAATAAGTCAAAGGACCTCGTTTGTCCCATGACCTTTGCGATGGTGTTCCTGCTCCCCTGATGTCGTACAGGTGAATAATGTATCTCACCATTACATGAATCGTTCTCACGCCTAACAGGATGCACTATTAACCAAGAAACGAAGTGATTGAAATTTTTTCCATTTGAAATTATAATGTTGACTTCAATGAGAATGAGTTAGTTACCTCGGCTGCGGTAAACACGAACGTGTTGAAGGAGACGAAAATGAAGGCCGCGGCCGTGCATAACAATAACATGAACGAAGATAATGCCAGAATTGCAGCGAGTAGTCCGAGAAGCCTTGCATGACTCCAACCGGGTGTTGTTGGCGAAAAGGACAACTGCAAGATAATAAAATAAATATATGGTGGCTTATATATTCGTGGTTTATTTTTTTAATTTCACGCGGGTTGAAATTGTATTAATTAAATAGAAGTAAATGACATTGGCAGATGGGTCATGGTCAAAAATCTGTGTGTGTGTGTGTGTTTCTTTTAAATACTGCAGTACATGGGGATTGATATTCCAGTTTGCTCAAGAATGTTTCAAGGACTACATGTTACAACTATCTATATGTATAGTCCCATCTGATACTGCATGGCCACACATTAAATTTGTTGTAGGGTCGAAATATCCAGGGAAATCAGTCAAATAAATCTTCCATTACAATATCTGCTATCTCCACAAATAATTACTTTCTCTTCGTAAAATTTTCTTTCATGTATGACCGTTTTCGTTACATAATAAAAGTGAGCACAGTTGAATAACTAAATACATATAGTCGGTTCTCTACGTCATAATCTCTCGGCTCTGTTGAAAAAGAGATACATAATGAAACAAACAAGGAAAACTGAATGTTCGTAGTGACAGGTATAACCTGGTTACCTCTATTCAATTATACTAACGGGATTCTCGTGAATTCATTGCATAACGGAGTCACGAGACTTTTTGTGTTTATAGCGGAGTCTTTTACATCCGACCAAGCCTAAATCTTGTTAACCCTAATGTGTTCCTTCTTGTTTTCTGGTTTCGAATACCAAAATTCCACTTGGTAAACTATTATCATTTGTCGATAACGCATTCACAGTATAATAAAAAAAAAATAAACTGTTCACAGCTTCTGACTATGTGCTCATCAAATTAGGTTAACTTTGTTTAGGAGGTGGTCGAGTCAAGGTCGTAGGCACTGTAGCAGAACATGATTATTTCGCATGAAACTTATTACGTTCGTGCGGACTTCGACGGATAATGGCATTTCGTGCTAAAAAGGCAAAACGAATCATTTCCGTTACACGTGCCTATGTTGTATTATTGAGAACATCTTTTTGCTTTTTTATGTAACTGTTTCATAACGGAAACTATAATACACCTTGTCTGGCGCATGGCTATGCCGACAAAATCGAACGCGGGATAGTCCCGTTTGCGAATGCGGGAAACTTTGTCGAATAAATAAGCAACATATTGATTTCAGGCGCACGCTCCGCGTAAATAAAGTATGACGAGTGCTCTATCTAACGAAACAATGCAAATGCAGCCACGTAGCGAATTTCGTAACGACGGCTTGTCGGCTCGCAATGAACGCGTGCCAACTGCACCGAGCCTCGTCCCGAAACTCTACCGGTCTAAAATATGTTAAGATATTCGGAATATTTATAAACGTCTACAAAATAACAACCCTATGGAAACATCATTACTTAAAATGCCAATGTCGCTCTTTGTAATATCAAATTCGCGCTTCATTGAATCTCATCGGGTAGTGAAATTAAGTATGCACCGCGCGATGAAGAAATTCGGCAGAACAACAAACCGGGCCGACAGAAGATACACAAGACATTCTCTCGTAAATTTTTGTGTTTCGATTCGCACGAATTTCCGGAATCCGTAAATGAATTAATTTCCGATCCGCGCGGGAATCGTTTTGCGATAGTTAAATATAGAAGCGGAAAGACCGGTTTTCCGTATCATCGTAAATCATGTCGACGGTAAAAAAGTTTGCTGGACGCAAAGTTTTCAAGTTTCGAGGTAAAGCATGCGCGGAGAGAATATAATGAAATTTTAATTTTCGATTGCCACAACAATCGTTACAGATCGAACCGTTAATGTTTCTAGATCGTCGATTTCGATCATTTCGAAATATTGTTTTACGATCAACAGAATTTATCAACGGAAGTAGAAAACAAGAAATATAATAATAGATAATGATCTATTAAGTTTTCTAGATAGAACATACACAATACCGCGGTTATAAGATTAGCTCCAATTTTCAACATTCAGGAAAATAATCTCTCGACGATTTGCAAAAGATTTGTTTACCTTTATCTGGAACAACGGTACTAATTAGGAAGATAATTACAAGGATACCGATACTTTCGCCAGTTTAAATACCAATTTACATTTACCCAAGGAAAGTTTTTACCGCCATCTTTAGCACCAATGCTCTTTTTAGCGTCGCACGTAGTGCCGCGAATGTTTCACTGAAGTTTCACTGACATAAATTTCCTGATTTTTGTCGCAGTGGAAATATGGGGCACACGCGTTTCTTCCGTTCGACTCGTCGAAAACGTACGCGTCCAGCAGCGGTGCTCAGAATTAATCGAAAGCCCTCGAAAAATTTCATTTTCGAAATCCGCGATTCAACAGGGTCCACGAACGCGTATCGAACACTGTAATTATATGAACGATGCCCGCACGCCGAAGTACATACGTGGCCGCGATGGAGTTAATTGAATCGAATCCAGTGTTCGAGAAGATTGCTCTCAATTCACGAGAGAATCCGATCGGTTGAGAGGTTGATTCTCTTGATTGGAGTGAAACTCGCCGGGACCAAGATTTCGCGGAAGTACTATACTCACGTATTCGAATCGATCCTTGCAGAGCTGGCTGAGCAGGCTGAGGAAGCCCAGCGCGGTGAACCAAGCCCACCATAGGACCACCTCGTCCATGTACTGCACGTTCAGCACGCCGAAAACGAAGATGAACTTGTAGAACACGAAGTTCCAGAACTTGTCCTTCAGGTGTTGCCTTTCCGACGGCCGGAGTTCGCCGAACACCAGCTTCTGGATCGTTTTGCCGAGGAGAATTAGCACGCAGTAAGCCATGTTGATCAGCGTCTGAAAAAAAGAAAGCCGGAAAACCCTCCATCGATCTTTCCAAACATCGTTCGTGTTGTCGAGCCGCGCGAAGCCGCCCCAGTCGAAGATGGCCGAAATGTAAACCACCCCGACTAATATTAGAAGCCGATAAGACACGTTTGGCAGTGACCGGGCTTTCCTAGTGCGCAACTTGACCGGCACTGTTCACCGCTTCCTATTTCATTTGCCAAGAAGGAAGAACACCCAGCGATGGGTTTACAATGATTAATATGATCTAGGAAACAAGGCAAGTTTCATGGCAACTTCCGGCAAAACAAAACGTCCCGTTTCAACAACCAAAACTCAAATCAGAATGATTCATAAAACTGAAAACGTGACTTTTCTTAAAGAGCTCAATTTCTTAAAAACTGGATGACTCTCTTTCTATCTTTTAAGAGCATTGATTTCAAAACTGTCTGGACTTGGGGGTCAATGTATTTAGCAAGCGTAAAGGCTAACCACTCAAGAAAGACTGGCAACAATGTGTAGATTGGTGGAGAAGCCAAAAGTAATAAACATCAAAAATTGATTGAGCCTTTTAGGAGCTTTGGGTTGCGAATCCCATTAATTCTGCTGACGACAGAGGCTAGGAGAGACTTGGATCGCTTACCCAGATACAGGTGGGTTCATAGAACATGCATTTGAGCAGTTCCTTCAAATGCATCCCTAAATTTCTTGGATCGGACTCAAGCTCCATCTCCACAGAGGTATGATTACTTTTCCATGTAGGATCCTTGATGATCTGGGCTGCATAGTAGACAGAACAGGATAGAATCCCAAAGCTCATGGCTGTGTACACCCTGAGATTAGGGATCGGTAGTCTGTCTAAGAGCTCCATTGATGCTATGTGGTTGTTACTTTTTCCTGTTCCTGAAGAGCACAGTGTCACTCGATTATTTGCGTTCATTCTGATGTGGGGAATGGAGGAGCTTGTCTGGTCAGACTTGATAACCTTCGAGCTCTTTCTTCATTATGAAAGATCAGTTTATAACTGTACCAGTATAATTCCATTTAATGTTTTGGTTGATTCAACTTAATTTGGATGTAACATATACATGTTTTATTCGACAAACGGTTATCTATTTTATTATGAAACAGTTGCGCATTTACATTTGCACTTAACAATTATAAACTGAACATACGTGGGATTGTTTCGATTACATAGAAATAACAATATTATCATAACATAAATCAGTAGCCATAGAAGTTACTCGAACAGTTCTGAGATATGTGAAACGAGAGCAGCAATAAAAATAAGAAACAACACGATTCAAGACATAAATGGAAAAATCGTTCTCGCAATTCCGTCGAAGAAAAAGCAGTCCATATGGCTCGGTTCAATTAGAATTCCAACGCCAGAAATTCTGCAAAGAGTGAATAAATAATTGGATACACGTGCTTAATATTGTATCGGTTGTCCGGTCCTTTTATGCGGATGTTCGATTGTCAATGGTAATTGACAAGTTCATTGGCACGCCGATCATCGACAATCAAGCATTTTCCGTTAGCGCTATCGGCGGTCATCGTCATCGGTAACTGACACCGAAATTTCCGTTACAACGATGCAAACATCGACGCCGCGACCTTGGAATCGCGGAAAGAGTCTCTGTTTTTAAAAACAGTCGACCAACCACGGAAATCGAGATAAAATCTCTTAATTCGTATAATTTATCGCATGTCACGTATCGTGACACTATTATCGTACAGGTTTTTCGGCTTGCTCGTGAGCCGATGGCATTTTATCTGGCCTACTAACGGTTTCGTACCGAAACAAAATATTCTTGTGACGAAGAAAACCATCAATTATATAAACAGAAAAATTGTTGGCCGTTGATTATTTCATTATTAACAGAAAATAGACTAAAATCAATGGTATATATATATACAGTTTAAGGGAACCGCTTCCGATATCAATGTCCTTGAAATATGCTGACTAGGTCACCATACTGAACTACTTTCTCCTATACAATATAACCAGCGCTACCTTTTTAGTTTCCGAGATATTCGCGAAAGAAGTTAAAGAGGTAGAGAGATTCAATCACATTAGGAACTCGGTGTGATAGGAGTTTAGTGCAGGTATTAGAGACTCAACCTTAAAAGGGACGTTTTAAATTATTTTCCGCGTTCAACATCTAACGTCACGCATTACGCGAGTTCGGGACAAAGAAACCATTATATTATTGCTATTTTAAGAGTTCATATTCTCATTACTAAGACACGTAACTGCTATTACCTCAAAAAAGACATCTATTTATTCATTGTAGCAACAGTTTCTCTAATTTGAAATTTTTCTAATACCTGAAAATCTAGAAGAGAATATCTATTATTTTTAGTATCTTTTATTTTTTTACTTAAAAAAAGTCGTTCAGAATGAATACACAACATATTAGGGGGACTGGAAAAGAATGTCGTCTCTGCGCATATTTATCTGTTTGAATTTAATGTAAACAAACGACATAACTTTCCGGTCCCCCTAATATTTTAGTTCAGTAGGTTTATAATATATCTTTATAGGCCACGAAATCGGCGGTGGCTTCCTTAATCTGCATATATACTTCGTAATTATTATTGTAGCGTTCGAGTTATTTTTTTTTCGTACGTCAACGACATAAATCGGCAAAATCAGGTCGTTTCGGCTTAGGGCTTAGGTAATCCGCTATCATGCGAATCAGCCAGCACGGGACGGTTACAAATTTTCCAAGGTCGGGTGAAACGATTTAGTATGTCGAGCAGAAAATAATTATTCTTGTTTGCATGTTTTCGCAAAGTCAAGTCACGTACCTGGCGCATACTTCGTATCTCGAGGCACCTACGGTTGTCGCGCGTTGGGGGAAAAAAAATGTAGAAACGCACATTCTGACATTACCGTCGTGTTCATGTGTGTAGTCGTTAAAATTTAACTTTAACCTTTATGACCGATAGTAGTTTACAATACTATGTATAATAGCACGTTCATGATGCACCGCACGAAACGGCACGTGTTACGCTGATCGCTTTTCTCGCCGAGTTACGGTAAAAACTGCAGGACCGTCATCTGAACCAACTGAAATTTTCAATGACTCGCCGAAGCTGCCAAGAATAATTTTGTAATCGGTCATTATAGAATCTCGAGTATTTTTAAACGGAAAATAACTTATCACTGTGATTTAAATATCCGTTACAGCCATATATAATCAGTTATTTAAATATTTAAACATAAACGCTGTGTCATCATTGTTTAAATTGATCGATGCGCGTTTATTTAAATATTTAGCAGATCTCATTTTTATGACAATATATTACAATATATTAATATTATTTAGATTGACTATTTCAAAATATTTTAAAAGGATGTTTGAAAAGGATCTTCTTGTTTGTATTATATAAGATTATGCAAGTAATTCAGTTAAGTACACATTCGATCATAGCTGCAATTAGAGGAAAATGACATGCATCACATTGCTAATTTGTTCAATTAGTCATCTACTTCCACCTAGTTCTGCATTATTCAACTTCACCTATGGATTATATCATAGTTCTTTGCTTATATCAATGATAAATGTTACATGACCATTATGCAAGAATTATAGAATCTGTGCTACCAGTGTATGAAATGCTACCATTGAATGGAAATTTTGTTTCTACTTTTGTTAACGATTTTTAATGTGAGAAGCCAGCCGACTTTCATGTTTCTTCTTATTCTTAAGCAGGAGAATGATATTTTTAGCCGATTTATGCGTTCGTCTCTCACACCCCTTAATTTCTCCAACTTTATATTTATCTTTTCCTTATACTTATTCGTGTCGTGCCCTCGTTAAAGAGTTTCCTGTTACTTTCTAAATGTATCATGTTCCATTATTACATCTGTTACTTAGAAACATTTCGAATGATCTTACAACGGATCCAAGACACAAACGATTACTCCATACGAGATGCTTTGATATCTGTGCTCCAAGAATAACCTAGGACAAGTAACTTTCACCTGTGCTTCGATACAAGATTTTAGAAAGCAGTTACTGAAATAAAAAAAAAAACATGCTCGACGTTAGCATAGCACCACAAAATTCGATTCTGACCGACTAACTACAAACACCGATGCAGAACTACATCATTAGGCTATTATCCATGAAATCGAATAATCTGTAATTCGTCGCAACGTGCGGAAAAGATTTCGGTCGAAATAATGCCCGGGTCTGTGCACGCTGCGTCAAATGACAGATCTGCGAAAACGAGCGACACTCGATATCGTATTCCTATAAAAAGAACGCTGCATCGATACGGGGACAAGTGGACTCACCTGGAATCAAAGATCGACGAACACGTTGCCCTTAATCCATCACCGGAACGGGGACAGATCTCTTCGAGGACGAGACTCCGGGCGGTTTGAGCTCCACTTAACGCATATCTGCACAGAACTTTGAGGAAAAAGCGAAAATACCGGGACGGGAAGGGACACGCCGGAAGGCTATACCGAAAGTAAGACTTTCTTTCTCGGTCGGAATCGTCCGTCAGCTAATAGCACACCGCACGTCCCTTCACGGTTTTACATGGCACACGCGCGGTCCATACCGCGGAACAATTTCTGTTTGAACGGGTTCGAGAGCGGCGAATCGGTTTTCTCACTGACGTCCCTTTAGGAGGAGCTTCGGGATATTATTGCGACACAATATGACACAATGTGTCACAACAACTGCAGTGCTCGAGACCGCCGATGAGACTAAATACACAGTCGATAAAGAAGTATTGATTGGTGTGGCCGGTTTACAAGGAGGGGGTATCCACGGACTTTGCCCGCGAAATTTGAAATTCTGTCGCACTGGCTGACTCACCCTCACACCGAGCGGTAAATCGAAATTATAATAAATGTAATATATATATATATATTATAAAATATATTATAAAATATATTATAAAATATATTATAAAATATATTATAAAATATATTATAAAATATATTATAAAATATATTATAAAATATATTATAAAATATATTATAAAATATATTATAAAATATATTATAAAATATATTATAAAATATATTATAAAATATATTATAAAATATATTATAAAATATATTATAAAATATATTATAAAATATATTATAAAATATATTATAAAATATATTATAAAATATATTATAAAATATATTATAAAATATATTATAAAATATATTATAAAATATATTATAAAATATATTATAAAATATATTATAAAATATATTATAAAATATATTATAAAATATATTATAAAATATATTATAAAATATATTATAAAATATATTATAAAATATATTATAAAATATATTATAAAATATATTATAAAATATATTATAAAATATATTATAAAATATATTATAAAATATATTATAAAATATATTATAAAATATATTATAAAATATATTATAAAATATATTATAAAATATATTATAAAATATATTATAAAATATATTATAAAATATATTATAAAATATAATATAAAATATATTATAAAATATATTATAAAATATATTATAAAATATATTATAAAATATATTATAAAATATATTATAAAATATATTATTATATATAATTAATTATAAAATATATTAAAAATAAATTATAATAAATTTTGAAAGTGGCATAAGTCACTTTACCGTAATGAAAAGTGGTGATTTTTTCAATGTTTATACGAAATTATTTATACTGAGAAAAATATCAGTATCCTGAGATAACAAATACAAGTAAATCTTCTCGAAAGTTAGCATCCATATTTTTGAACGTGTTGAAACGCAAACCCTTAAATATATCGACTTAAAAACAAAGTGACTTATGCCACTTTCAAAATAAACGGCTCAAATACACAGATGACCTTACCCTTTTGATCGGCGGTGATCAACTGTTTCAGAAAACGATAATACATAATACAAAAATTGGTGATAATTAAATAATTACTTTGTTCATTCGGAACTTTGGGAATTGGGTACATGAATCCTTACCAATATACCGATATTCGCTTTCGTAGGATTGAAATCTGATCATTTTAAATGTTTTTCGTTTATTAATCGATAATAAATTGTCTTTTTGTAACTCCATTACCCTTAGCACGAACGAGATATCAGAGTGGATCTGTTACACGAAAATGGGGCGCTAGCATCTCATTACCGATTCCATTTCGCACTCGTCGTTACTGATATTTCACGAATTTAAGTTTAATTCGGTGAGAATCATGTATATTCTGTATACCTTATTTGCATGATGGCAGGTTTTACATAGTCTTATGCCTTTTTTGTCTCAGGTGTTTGGGACCGCAGTGGCCTGTATACCACTCCGGTGTCGTGCCCAATGTTACCGATAATTCACGAATTTAGGCGTGTTAGCAAACACGACATTTGAATAATTAAATTATTTATTTAGAAATTTGGGAATTAATTTTTAAACGATCGTTAGTTTTTCATCTATATATATAATATCATATATAATATATATTATATATAATATCATCTATATAATAAATTGTTTTTTGTAACTGCATTACCCCTAGATGTGTGCAACCTGTGCACCTACCTCTTGTATGGACACCTAGTGACATCTGATAGCGATTCTCGGAAGTTGAATCTGGCGCCTGAAAATATGCAATGTTTTCAATTCTTCGATGTATATTGTAAGTTGTAAATTGTAAGTTGTAAATTGTAAGCTGTAAATTGTAAGTTGTAAATTGTAAGTTGTAAATTGTAAGTTGTAAATTGTAAGTTGTAAATTGTAAGTCGTAAGATGTAAGTTGTAGTCGTAAGTTGTAAATAGTAAGTTGTAAGCTGACATCAGATTCGTGTTTTACTGCGAAATGATTTCTATCACAACTTTTGTTTAAATAATTCTTTGCAAGAATGAGTTTCATTTCAATCGAGATTCGGTTTCGTTTCTGATATCTTCAAACTCTGCTAGAAACGCGCGGAAGTTCATTAACATGGTTATGTAACGTCATTTTAACACGAATGGCATGCGAACAAAAGTACGTAATGCATTGGATCTGACACGTATTAGTGCTATGACAAGACTAATAATTGCGGATAGAAATCCGATTAAAGACACAGTAGGTTACAACCTCGGTTTTATGCAGCATGATCGAGGCGAAGCGAAATGATCGAAATATAAACAGATTTAACAGACTTGGAATAAATTGTCCAAGACTAATATTTCCGCACTGTTTACGTTTCTCGTAGCGATATCATAAATTTACGAGTATTATTTTGGAGACGATACAAAAACACGTTTTATCGAATCGTTTTATTATAAGTCTGCGTTGATAGGCACGATGATATTTTGCATCATACATCGACATGTTACATAATGACCTTAATAAACAGTTTATTATCACGATGTCAACAATGTTCGTACATAATTCAGATAATGTAACGGCGTTCGGTGAAAATATGTTTTCGAATTATTATTAGTCACTTTGCACAAGGCATCACTAAAATTAGAAATTATCATAACCTATTGATATCAATACGTATTCGAATCCCATTTTATAAGGTACTATTATTTCGTAGAGGAATTCATAGGTTTCGTATGAATTATTATCAATATTTATTTCATGCAAAGAAATTTTTTCAAATCATGTTTGCTGTTATTGTCTGTGTTTGATCAAATACGCCATCTTTGGACGGTAACAAGTTTTATTACCGACGTACTTCAACTGCGCGAAATTTAAAAACTGATTTGAATATCGAATGCAATGGAAAACATACATTGCTTTTCAGATTATATTAATCGTATCTAGAATTATAAATAAGAGAAATAAAACGACAATAATAATTGTCTTGTACATGCATATTTGTATTATCATCTCAAATTATCCAAACACAATAAAACTAAAAATTCTCGTATCTTTCATTTTTGATTTAAATCATAAAAACATTAAATATTAAATATTAAATTCTGTTAATAAAAAAATTAAACTAAAAGACTAAATTCTATTAATTTATTAGATCCTTTTATCTTGAACGATTTATTGAGTGTAAATTTTGTTACTGGAAATTAGGTTATGCCGATGCAAACGACTCTAATGCGTAACAACTGCCTGAGATAAGGCTCTTGTTATTACCATCGTATAAAGACGTTTATTCTTACAGTTTCTAACGTTTCATCAGCGCGTATGCATATATACGGTCGGCAGGAAAAAAGCAAATAATCATTCATTAATTCAAGGTAGACGACTCGAAGTTTTTGCTCGGTTCTTTTCTCATCGTTCGTCCCGAGTCATTACAAAAAGCAAAAGAGTATAAAAAAAATTCGAGGAATCCTTCGCATGAATAGTCATGCAGCTGATTGTATGGAAAGAATCTGCAGAGCATACATGCAGATCCGAACAATCGGCACTTGTATTCTAAGGTTAACCTATTCCCTTTCAAATGTAGTCGACATAACCTTAAACGTAAACATCGTGCATAAACAAAAATGTACGCGCGAACACGATTTCAATATTAAACCTGTCAATTGATATTCACATATGACGTATGTGCGGTGCTCGACTGTACAGTGTGCGTTCAATAAATGCATACTGGCGAGCACTACTAACACGCTCGTCGATCGTATATGTATGTGCATATAAATAGAAATATACATATATATGATAAACAAAAGTGTTGTTTCACACAACCGTATAAAATCAAGAGCATGTCGATCACCGATGATGGTCGGTGCAGCAGTAGCGCAATTGCTTTCCAGCAGATCGGACTTAGCTGTTGCGAGTCGCGAGTGCGCATGCGTGTTCAGTGCCGCGTGTTCAGCGCCTGCGCGTAGCGGTGTTCTAGTTCTATGCTTTCAAGTTTCCCGTCATCCGCGCATGCGCGTAGCAACCGCATTCGTGGCGCCTAAAATGAGAGGCTTCGAATGATGGACCTAAGAATCCGGGTATTCCGAGTAAGATCAAAAGATGTTTAAAGAATTTCCATTTACGCTACTTTGTAGCATAACAGAATAGAGTAATCTATTATGTTCTAACAAAGAACAAATATGATGTAACGGTTTTAGCTGCAATTTTAAAGTAGATAACGTTTCTCGTAAAGAAGTTGTATAAACGATATATTTCGCAGAAACGTTTTATCACATGAATAGGTTAGAATCATAGTGATGTTAGCCACATTTTCGAAAATTTTGACTTACGTCTTAAAATGCAATCTATAGGTGCCAAAATGTTAAAAAGTCGGGTATATTGATTTACATATTAATTTAACTCTAAATTATGTTAACAATAAATTTGGCCAGTAAACAGTACGTATGTTAGTTAACAATAACACTCCATGTTTTTTTTTTTACAATGAGGAAAATGTGACTTGCGCCACTATGATTCTAGCCCGCATATATTTCAAGTGAATTAATCTGGATTCTTGAATTAATGTTCCACTGTTCATCAAAGTTGTTGTTTCTTCTCAGACATTATTATCTGCACGTTGTTCTTGTAAAATAATATCGAACAGTTGAATAAATTTCATTCGATGAAAAACTGCTGGGTTATAAAACTATTGATGTCTATGCAGATGAGGGGACGAATAATCTAAAGCAACGAATCATTATGTTTATGAATGATTTCGACGTTACGCAAGAGTTAACCTTTTTTTGTGAAATAATAAGCGCTTTACTCATTTATGCGTATGCGATTGCATGCGCTGAATTTATTGATGGCCTTTATATGTTTCTGCCAAATTGTTCTCGTAATTCTCGTTCGGTTTTCAAATTGTAAGATCAAAATTTGTCAAAATCTCTACACTATATCAATCCTGTATATTTTAGCACGATCTGACAATAAATTCTTCGATTAATTCCTAATCGATGAAATTAAGTTACTTCAATGTTCTGTTACCGGTAAATATTTTTTTGCAATTCTCTTCGATTATCGTTCGGTAACAACCAGCTCCTTATCGTTGCGAGATTGTGATTCGGATACGTTTTTTCGGACCGACTGTTATCGACTATCGTCAGTACCGATTAGGAATTTTGATAGACCAGATATTCCTGGAAATATCGCATAATTAGCGATAAGCTGCTCGCAACGTAATCGTAACGGTATAAATACGAACGATAACATTTTAATTAAATATATGTTTAAATATGGAACGGGATTTGTCAAGGACAACATTCAACTGTATTTTTGGTTCGTGCACTCTTGTGCTTAAAAGAGCAACAAGAATGCTATGTTACAGTGGAGAAATGTTTAGAACGTAATGAGATACATAAAAATAAACATTTCTACAATTTATTACAAGTACAGTCAATTGATTGAAAAATTCAGACGGGCCTTGGCCTTAAGTTCCGTCGAGGCGTCGAGCTCGTCGAGTTCCAATTTATTATCATTAAAGATGATTGAAACATCGAAAAGCATAAACAGATTTTAACTGTTTCGTGGAATAATCGATTCGACAAGGCAACAAAACTTCTTTGATTCTGACCATCCGTTTGATCGTTCTGCGCCAGATAATGAACTCTCCCCACTCGCGGTTCAAGATGGCGGTTGCCTAATCTTCCGCGAAGAAGAAAAAAGGAGAGAGAAAATCGCCGGGAGAGACACTCCAATGATAACGGGCCAGCGAAAGAAAGAAAAAACGAATCTATCGCGCACGCCGGTGGCCATATTTCCGAAATATTTGTTGTTCAATTGTGGCTCGATGGTGAATCGTGTTTCGTGTGGATCGTGTTGTGGGCATTCCTGTAGTGCGCATGCGCGCCGACGGAAGTCGTCAGTGGCGACCTTGAAATGGAGGAACGGCCGAAGAACACGGAAGGACCATCGGCCATTTCGTCTTCCACTTCGGTGGATGGTAAGTGATGTTACTTCATGATTTCTTCGTTCCCTTTTTTATTCTATAATACAGCATATTGGTCTCTGTTAAACTATTAATAATCGCCAATGTACCGTAAGCTCTAAACTGTTTCAAATAATATAAACGAGAACTGTGAAACAGATCAAGAAATTTGAATATGCTTTTGGGTAACTTTTGAGTAAGCTACATCCGGTTAATGAATCATTCGACGTGTTTGAAGAAAAATTAAACCAATTAATTTGTTTTTCCATAAACTTTATCTAAATTAGGTATTTTAGACGATAAGACATGAAGATCAGGCCCGAAAGAGTAAGTCTCGGGTTTTAAAATAGTCCACGCTTAAAATCTACAACACTAAAACTACCAAAACAGTTGAAATGTTTAATTTCTGATCTCTCCTTCCACGATTCCCGATATTATAAAAATGTTCCTGCGAGAAATTTCTCTCTCTCTCTCTCTCTCTCTCTCTATATATATATATATATTTTTTTTATTCGAGCATACATTATAATAGAAATCGTACGAAGTTTAAACGAATCTAATCTCGTTATAGAACAATACATATTAATTGCGTTTAGAGCTCTATAGTTCTAATGTTATATGGTATCGCTTTTTTTTTCATTTGTACAATATTATTATATCGTAGAACTGGGAAAGCGCGACCGGAAACGGCGTCGGTTACAAATAATAACCAAAACGCTTCTTCCTATTCCGAAAAAATGCGCGACTGTCGTAAAAGCATGCGACTCCCGGCAACAACACAATACATCACGATGTACCCCAGATTCGCAGAAGTCAACACGCTGTTGACACGGAGATGACAACACCGTCCCGTTCGGCTGGTTAACCAAAACATTTTCTACGCCGTGCCGCCGTATTATCTGCGACGGTCCAGTCTGCGCGCGCTGTGCTTATTGCGGTTTATTAATAGGTATTAACGAATTCTGTTAATTACGAAAGTATACGCGGTGCGAAATTGATACGTTACGCAACACGAACAAGCGGACGGAGAAAGGGAGGCGAATGCGCGTGCACGCCGCGTCTCTGTGTGCGTGTAAAACGTGTCTGTGCGTTTGTCTTCCTGCTGGCTAGTGTCCCGCAAAAATCCAGGGCGAAACGGAGCGAGTCTCGGGACGATAAAGCTTCCTCCCTTCCACCGTCTCCTCGCCGCTCGGCGAAGATAACCCTCGTCGACCCTCGTCTGCGCAGCAACCGAACCGCCTCCACTCGCGATCACCCTCGTTTTCTTTGTAGGTAACCGAATGGCAAGGGTTGCTTTTCGTCGGGAAATCTTCGTTTATTCGTGACCACTGAAATACCATGATCATTTCAATAATCGAATCTCTTACCGTCGAAACAGAGGGTCCCAGATGGCGCTCAGTTCGAATTTTGCGCCTTTTTGGAGTAACCTATATTACGTCATCGTGCGGAGAATAGAATATGGGACATTGTTCTAAATAATTTCGTTCGAACGAACGTTTGAAACGTTTCTGCTTGGAAATGAGACGCATTGAACCTCGTGTCATCGAAATAATGAGTCGAAGATGGCGCGCAGTTTGAATTTTGCGTCTTTTTGGAGTAACCTATATTGCGTTATCGTGCGGAGGATAGAATATGGGACATTGTTCTAAATAATTTCATTCGAACGAACGTTTGAAACGTTTCTGCTTGGAAATGAGACGCATTGAACCTCGTGTCATCGAAATAATGAGTCGAAGATGGCGCGCAGTTTGAATTTTGCGCCTTTTTGGAGTAACCTATATTGCGTTATCGTGCGGAGAATAGAATATGGGACATTGTTCTAAATAATTTCATTCGAACGAACGTTTGAAACGTTTCTGAGTGAAAATAAGAGAGAGTCGAAGATGGCGCGCGATTCAAATCTCGCGCCTTTTTTCGGAACAACTTGTACTTGGAATGGTGCACAGAATATCGTTTTAATGAATTTCATTCAATCGGATGTTGGAAACGTGCAAAATCAAAGATGCTGGCTTGCGGAATCGAATGTTATCGTGTCTGGACGTGGCAAAACGGCGGAGCGGAAATAGCGGGCAATTCAAATCTTGCGCCGCGCGTCCTTTAAAATGAAGCATTTTAATTATGTTTAATCCGGTCCAAATTAAAGTCGATGGAAAATCATCGACGAGGATGATGGCGGCTTTTGAAACGAAACGCGATCAAACCAGCCTCGTTACGGTTTATGGAAAACGAAGTAGGCTGTCAGCGTACCGCAACGGTGGTCACATAACGTCTGCCAGATAAGATTTGATCTCACGTTTTCCGTCAAGTCATCGATAATAAAATTTATGTAATGGGAGGATCCCGAAGATTTCGATAAAACTGGCCAACNCGTTATCGTGCGGAGAATAGAATATGGGACATTGTTCTAAATAATTTCATTCGAACGAACGTTTGAAACGTTTCTGCTTGGAAATGAGACGCATTGAACCTCGTGTCATCGAAATAATGAGTCGAAGATGGCGCGCAGTTTGAATTTTGCGCCTTTTTGGAGTAACCTATATTGCGTTATCGTGCGGAGGATAGAATATGGGACATTGTTCTAAATAATTTCATTCGAACGAACGTTTGAAACGTTTCTGCTTGGAAATGAGACGCATTGAACCTCGTGTCATCGAAATAATGAGTCGAAGATGGCGCGCAGTTTGAATTTTGCGCCTTTTTGGAGTAACCTATATTGCGTTATCGTGCGGAGAATAGAATATGGGACATTGTTCTAAATAATTTCATTCGAACGAACGTTTGAAACGTTTCTGAGTGAAAATAAGAGAGAGTCGAAGATGGCGCGCGATTCAAATCTCGCGCCTTTTTTCGGAACAACTTGTACTTGGAATGGTGCACAGAATATCGTTTTAATGAATTTCATTCAATCGGATGTTGGAAACGTGCAAAATCAAAGATGCTGGCTTGCGGAATCGAATGTTATCGTGTCTGGACGTGGCAAAACGGCGGAGCGGAAATAGCGGGCAATTCAAATCTTGCGCCGCGCGTCCTTTAAAATGAAGCATTTTAATTATGTTTAATCCGGTCCAAATTAAAGTCGATGGAAAATCATCGACGAGGATGATGGCGGCTTTTGAAACGAAACGCGATCAAACCAGCCTCGTTACGGTTTATGGAAAACGAAGTAGGCTGTCAGCGTACCGCAACGGTGGTCACATAACGTCTGCCAGATAAGATTTGATCTCACGTTTTCCGTCAAGTCATCGATAATAAAATTTATGTAATGGGAGGATCCCGAAGATTTCGATAAAACTGGCCAACTACATACATCGTTTCACGCGCTCGCTTATTATGTAATTGTCGTCCCCTAGAATCATTTAAATCGGTCTTTAAGTACGATTGCGCTCTTGTCGACGTGACGCGACGGGCGTGTAAACGGCTCGTTACACTCGATTCGAAACAGTTTTGGCGCGCATTGTACACGGCCCATAAAAATGCGCGCGTGTCGATGATGAAATGAAGAAAAACGATGAGAGCGTCGTCGGTCGAGGACGCTGTCGAAGCAATTCGAAAGTCTTCGGTGATGGACAGAAGCGTCTTTTCATCTCCGGGGACAACCACGTGTAAGAGGTAGACCACTGTGCTGCAATAATTACTGTGCGCACTTTATCAAAAGCTTTACAACTATTCTTAACGGAAACGCGACGACGGAACCACTTAAATAACTTCGCCGTAATTTGCGATTGCATGCCGTTCACGGTTAAAATAATTTAAATATTTTAATTTGTCTGTACAATGTAAAACCGCCAACTACATAATACTTATTCGCCGTATCTGAATTGTTGCAATAAAATGTATCTACATCGATTATAGTATTGGCTTTAGTCATAAATGTTTATCGTACAACGATAAAAAAATACTATACCAACATTCGGTTGTTAAGACGATAGTATCGATAAGTATTAATTATGAAGTGTCTTCGGCGAAGATAATCAACGGTGGAATGGCAGTTGTTCTAACGTAATCGAATAATTGAGACTCTTTTAAAGCGGATATCAATTAAGGAAGTATATTGATGAATTAATTGTATATTAACCAAAGAAAATTGTCGAACGACGTTTATTAACTTAAAATTTGATTGTTTTGACAACGAAGTTACGCTTCGAGAAATTTGCGTTTCGGCGCTGAAAAGAAAAAGATACCAAAGATGGCGGATACGCGTCGCCTTGAAATTGATTAGGAGTTTATCGACACTAATCCTTCTTTCTTATCGCGCGTTATCAACGGCTTCAAAACGCCTTGCACTCTCGCAACATTGTCGGCCCAACGAATCAACCGGTGTTTTCGTAAACGGCATTTCGTAATGACCGATAAAACTGATTAAATTGTTTGTAACATCTGGGAAAAGTGAGGTGAGCCACCGTTCCTATTTAAATCGGTCGAGCGAATTTAAACAGGAAAAAGGGAAATCATTTCTGAGACTCTTCGGAGATCAGAAAATTGATCTCGGAATCCATTAAATCAACCTTTTCCCGAAGCCGAACGTCTCGCGACAGAATCTCAATAATTTTTCGTGGCGACGTGTTTGCAAATTAATTAGCAGCGACGGATGCCCGTCTTCCACGTTACGACGTTACGCGAGCAGAGATTCATCCTGAATTCTTATGAGTTGTCTATTGAGCGCACGTTACAAGATGAATACTAAGAATGACTCTTTCACGCGGAGTGGACATCTTATTCTGAAACTGGACAGTTTCTTTAGAGCTCCATCTCGGTTTCTGCGTTCACCAGTAAAATTAGAAAATCTTTTCAGTCGTGTGACGCTCGTGGTTTCATTAGTTTCGCTTGTGTATTTCGTCTTTTTACGTTTCTTTAAGCCGCAGTAATTTGCACTTGGGCTAAACTGATCGTGGATGTAGCACAGTTTGTTAAAAGGAGAATGATTGATAAATAATCATCGATCAATCGATAAATAATCGATGAAATGATCGATAATTGCAACGACAGGACATTACAAGTTTGACGGTACGCCGCCATGTTGTCTAATTTTATCGCCGATCTCCGTAATTTGAGAAGATAGCATGTTACTGTAGTTTCTCTCTAATTCGCGCTCAGATTGCGCACAAAAATGGATAATTTGGAAAGGGGAGACACGATTATTCGAGCCTTGCAGCTCGTTTTTATAGCTACCGATTGTCAACAACTGTGAAAACGAGACCCAAGGCTCGAATAATCATATTTCCCCTTTCCAAATTGTCCATTTCTGTGCGCAATCTGAGCGCGAATTAGAGAGAAATTGCTGCATTTGCTGTATTTTGAAATTTTACAGTTATTGTACCTTTAACAGTAAAATGCAAGTGACTTATAAACTGTGATACTTCGCCGGAGTGCGGCGCCATATTGCTTTTGCGCTACGTTCGAAGCCATGTGTTCATAATTGAGAACGATCCTCCATGATATTATTATTATTATATTATTATTATTATTATTATTATTATTATTATTATTATTATTATTATTGTTATTATCACTATTATTATTATTATTTTTATTTTTGTTATCATTATTACGTAGAAGCATAATACCGGTATTTCGCAACAATAAATTACTGTCACTTTTTTCCGACATTACTTTCAACTTCTTACAAAGCACAGTCACTTTAAATTATCGCGCGGACAGTTACGATAAAAAACGATTGTACACGCCACATAAAAACCAGTTATTTATTCAGCCATTCAAGGTGGAACTATTTAATCGAGTACACAAATTATACAAATTTCTATGCGACATATTTAATCATGACTGGATTAGAGATGAACGATACGCTTCGCCGAGAGCGTCAAAGTTTTTTCGAATTTTCCCAACGGGATTACATTGAATTCTGGAGACAATGAAATTGCAAATGGCGTCCGGCGTTTCCAAACTTAGGGATAAACGTTGTAGATACGCGTGAAACAGGAAGAAGTAAATTGGTAATGCAATGTTTCTTGATTATCGTTCATATAATCTTCCTATCGTGCCGCGATATGTGTGTCATCAATGTTCGTGATAGCGTTCGTCGGGAATAGAGTCAACCTTGACTCAACGCTCACCGAAATCGGTTGCTTCCCTAACCAAAGACTGACGATATCCGGTAAATAACGAATAAGTCGTTGTTTACCGTGGATTGTTTCCCGATGCCGATGAGTAGCTAATCTCGAAAGACAGCCCCCGAAGATTTGTCAGCACCCTGAGTCACTAGCAGGATGCTCTGCCTCCAGGATGACGTGACGAAATTTGGTCATGCTCACGTCCTAGAGTCTGGAACGTAGTGACCAGAATCTAGACCATACAACA